GATTGTACATTGAGTTCATCCTTGAACACAAACCATCACTCTGAAATTGTTTATGCTCGTGGCATGTGCACACCTGTAGACTTACATTGCAAAGCTTTCAATCAAAGGTTGCTATGCTTCGGGATTCGCAATATACATGGCTTTACTAATGTAGTTACTTGGTATAATGCGACCAGTACTGATGTAGTTATATTTGTTTTCACGCTCTAAGGTGTGATGGAAAAACTAGCACTTTCAATGAGACGGTGTTTACTGTGAGGTGTGACATTACTGAGGTGTGCTGTGTTTTTTTGACCACAACTATTTCTCTAATGAACGGAAAACATTTTTACAAATGATTAGGGATAAAAGTGTCGGTATCCTTTTACACAGTAGACTCGTCATTTTAGACAAGGTTCAGTGAGAACGCTATTGCTTCATTGTCAATGAAGTGTTCATCTTTTCATCTGTCTGGCTGCTTTTATTATCCATGCATGGCTTTATTATGAATATCTCTATTCCGGTTACTGATAAAAACTACTGCGCTTACCCACAAGGTTTTCCCAGAAGATTGACATTGTTTGAGATCTCCATATGAGAGAGAATATTTAGTTAACAGAGATGCGACAAACCCTATGATGACATAGCAGGTTCTTATCCTAATGGTTTCCTATAGGAATTCATACCACAATGAGTTCAAAGTTATTACAAGTTTCATCGTGCGCGCCACTTATAATATGACATAAATCAATTCGGTGTCCGAAACTGTGCCTCATTCGTTGCAGTGCGCGTTTTGCAACAATCTACAGAGCCTTCTTGTTTGAGAAGTCGCAATACTTCGGTTGCAGTTTAAATAAATTTCTTATTTATGCACATCAATCAAGGTTTTTGCATGATAGTTATAATCCTACGTTGAAGCAGTGTATCTGGGTTCTGTGTTAGTCTAATCCTTGTATTCATTGAACGCGATTCCAACTTCGATATAGAACGGAACGGTTTCATAGCTGTTTATTTGGGTAAAGTGACCTAGATGATCAGACTAGGAAAACTATAAAATGGATCGGTCGAAAACAGAATTCCTAAACCCGTTTAATCGATCAGCTGATCGAAAATGTTTTGCACGTGACTATGCAGCGGACAGGTTCATTAAGTTGACAGAAATTGCGGTCCCGTCACAATAGTGCGTACGACTGCGCACTAATAGGTAAACGAACCTGATCCAGTTCTATGGGTGAGCGCAAGAATCGGTAACCACATTGTTGCCCTACATCAGGCGATAGTCTGTTCGTATATATTTCACCCACGTTTGACGCCAGACTGTTCCAAACAAATCATGGTACAATATTCTTTCTGAAAAAGAAAAAAGTTCATGATTTGCATTTGGGCTGAATACTGCCAGGTTGCCAGATTGGGGAATCCACAACCGGAGCCTTCAGTTAGACAAAGCCTAACCCGCAAGATGGCCGGGTGGTGTGTGAAAACCGCAATCCATTGGGAGCCGGTATTGAGTTCATCGGACCATTCGCCCTACTGAACCACCATATGGCGCCGGAACGAGATTAGCCTCAAAACCAAGCTCAGGGTGTTTGCCACACCAGTTCGACCAGTCCTACTATACGGCTGTGAAACTTGGCCGCTGAGAGCTGAGGACATCCGACGATTGGAGGTCTTCGATCACTGGTGTCTTCGATTCATCCTGAAAGTAAACTGGTAGGGACAGGGTCTCAATCTCGGACTTCAGAAATCGACGCCACGTTGCTCGTCTCTCAACGCACCTGCAACGCCGCCGACTGCAATGGCTAGGCCATGTTATCCGCAGACCCGACGACACTTTTACGAGTATTGTCTTGGCTCCGACACCATGTCCTGGCTGGCGCCGCCGACAAGGGGCAAGTAAAAACCTGGCTAGATACTGTATTCGAAGACGTCGACCAACTTGGCCTTCGAATGATGTACGGGACTCGCCCATGGAAAACAAACTGGATTAACATTTGCAAGAATCTCGCAGCCAACCGCCAAGCATGGATAGCAGCCATCAGAGACATTCATGGAGCCGGCTTATCCTTCCTAATGAGCCAGCCGTAGTAAACTAAAGTAAAATTAAATCCATTGGGAGCCGGTGTCCATTTCATCGAATCATTCGCCCTTTGGACGGTGTCAAACGTCCAAGGTGCCCAATACACCTCAACGTCCAATCGAGCTGGTGACCGATGCCACAACGAGGAAGTTGTGCGTGTGGTTCGTACGCCTCCTCTTGGTTGGTTTGGAATCAGGGTTTTGGGCCAAATCCCATAGATGAACTACCAGTGGTCCGCCAACCCGGTTATAGCCAGGGATATCAGCTTTTTGTCCTCTCACTTTG